CTTCTGTTCGCCGATGAGATCATTATTGCTCCTCTTGCCGCTCGTCCCTCTTTACGCATGAGGTAACCTTCTCTCTATAGATCTTGCCTTATTCCTATGTCTATGGAAAAACCACACACAAGAAAAACATGTCGGCGTCGCTGGTCCAAGCGGCTGAGGCACACGCGGTAAAGAAAAAAAAGGCGTTAACCACGGATATCGGCTGGCTCAACTAATTCCGAGCATTATTCTAGAACAAGACTAACGAAATGTGGTTCGCGAGCCGATCCCACCGAATGCTTTCCCCTCCAACGCGGCCGGCAGAACCATTGAGCTATATAACATACTGGTTTAGTTTATATCGATTATTTAGTACGTGTATCCAGTACTAAATCTGCTTCTCCGATAATTATAAATCGTCTAGTGTAAAAGCTGCACCAATCAAAGAAACAGATTTAATACTTGTACCGATTGTTTAATACGCGTACTAAACAAACGGTGTAAACAAAACCAATGAAGAGCACTTTGAAGAAATGGGGCTGATTCCACTGAGCAAAAGAAAAAGCTATATTTTCGGAGGACGTCTGTCTTCTTTACAACGTTTCCGATTTGCTAGCGATTATTATCTATATTGTAAAGCTTGAAGTAAAAACATTCTCCAAGAAATTCCATCTCTTTGAAAATAATTTTTAGGGCCTATCCAAACAAACTTGCATAGTTGCATAAACATATGCATAAGGAAATTGATTGGTCCATAAGCAAATGCATAAGGAAATCGACCAATCAATTTTTTTATGCATATGTTTATGCGACTATGCAAGTTTGTCTGGATAAGTCCTTAACCATAATTAAGAGATCTATGAAAATTTATATAAATAATATATAACATCATTACTATATTAAACCTTTTTACGAATGAAATCATGGGGCGGTATTCATAGTCCGTTCTTATATTTAAAATCGTCTTAAGCACGGACTTATATTCGCTCTCTTCGTCACACATAGATTGTGTCTGACGAAGAGAGCGAATATAAGTTCGTGCTTAAGACGATCTTGAATATAAGAACGGACTATGAATACCGCCCATGGACAGTTATTAACTGTTACTGAGATAAACGTTTTTAATAACGGTAGTAAACAAAAAAAAAGACAGACGTCCCCTAATCACTATTGGTCGGCTTGTACCTACACATTGGCTCTAATGAAAAGGCGCTCTCCAGTATGTTATATAGCTCAGTGGGCAGAACCGATCCCTCCGACCGGGAGTCGAGTTTGTCAAGACCGTAGGTAGCACATCGTTAAACATCGAAGTTTCCAACAGTTCACGATGGACAGTGGGCCCCGTAATCTCGTACGATGCGCTACTTACGGTTCTGACAAACTCGAGTTTCGGCTGGAGGGATCGGTTCTGCTGGCCGACGGATCTCGTTGGAGGAGGAAGCGTTCGACGAAAGGGTGTGCTCGCGAGACACATTTCGTCAGTCCTGTTCTAGAATTTTCTTTTTATCACGTTGTCTGCCGAACAGATTTATTACAATAGCCTAGTTTAGATCGTGCATTCGATACGCGTATCAGGTACTATGGCTTAGTTTACACCGATTGTTTAGTACGCGTATCAAATACTAAAGGCCGGAGCACAGACTTTTACAGAAAGCATAACGCATAAGCATAAGGAAATTGATTGGTCTATATATAAGCATAAGCAAATGCATAAGGAAATGGACCAATCAATTTCCTTATGCTTATGCGTTA